CTTTAAGTTTGTACCCTTAGTGTTTGTTCCCCTAAGTTTTGGGTCCCAAATACCTTTATTGAGGGCCATATTCCATGGTTTAGGGACCCAAAACCCAAGGGTACAAACCCTAAGGGTCCAAAGGAAAGCTCCCTGATGAACTGCAACCCTGACTGTGGAGGATTCCTTGCCTTGACAAGGGGCCCTCGGCACGTAGGTGCAAATAGCCACGCGTGGAGCTTGCGCGCAGCTCCTGAACCTGGGTTGTTGTTGAGGGATTTAATCTAAGTGTTGGGTTTCCGGTCTAGGGTTACTTTAATATGGAAACCGCTGTATTTACTATATATTGGCCGTTCCCAAACTTAGGGTCCCGTTTTGATACCCCTGCAGCAATAACCTAGAACCAGAAGGGGCCCATAATTCTCAGAACAGCCCATATTACCGATTATGGTAACCTCCCGCACTATACTACTCCCCCAGGGTTCCCCCTGAATTAAGCTTAGTTAAGCATAATTATCCCTAAATACCCTTAATTAAGGGGGAACCTGGGGGGGTACCAACCCCAAACCCTATACCAAAAACCCTAAGCCTCGAAGCCCTAAACCATAATAGCAACCCAGGAACAGAAGCCTCGTCGGCCTGGATCTTCTGGTCCAGCCTGGGGGTTTCTCGTCTTGGGGGTCCCCAGAATCAAGATTCCCTTCTTATAGCTCAGGGTTCAGGGTTTAGGGCTAAGGGTTCAGGACTTAGGATTTAGGGCTTAGGGTTTTCTTGCTGATGCCGAGCACGCTAGTCTGCACGCATTGGCGCAGCTGACGGTGCATTTCTATTGGATCTGGATCTGGATCTGCCAATCTCTGCGTAAACTTAATGGGGTCCTAAAATGCCACTGCCAGGGTGGTTGGTCAAGGTTTCTGGGAAATGGTGCTGATTTGCGGTCTCAATCCCATACCCATGTTACGGTAATATAATTTAAGGTCCTTAACAGCGACGTAGAAGGTTGCTGTGAGTTTGTAGGATGTGCGGGTTTGGGGAGTCTTGGCTCTTGGGCCCTGGGCTTGGATTTAGACAGGAGTCAAGGGCTTGTAGCGCTTGCCGACCTGTAGATGTAAATGAACCTTACCGTAATATTCAGTTTAGTTCCCAGTTGCGCTTCATAACCACTGCGTCCGTCTATTCAGCTCATTCAGTTCAAGTTGGCAGTAGAGACATCAACCCCCCAACATAAGGACGCACTGTTACAGAGGGACGACACCTGTGCAAAAATTGGGAAGAATGCCCATGTTGCCAGCCTGAGCTTGATTTGCCAGTTTACAGAACAATTGCCGGGTGGGGCGTGCCATGGCACTTGTCATCCTGCATAACCCTTCTAATCCCGATATTCACCCCCAAAGGCACTTATATCACTAGGACGAATCTGCCTTCTCTCACCCGCCTATGGCTTGAGCTAGAATTTGGCGTGATTAAGCAGGGCCTATGGCTTGAGCTAGAATTCGGCGTGATAAAGCAGGGACATATTCAGAAACATGGCTCCCCTCAGGTAAGTACTCCCATCAATGGCGTTTCGCGTCGAGGGCTCTCTCAGAACTGTATCCCTACACCGAGGGTGCTTGGCAATCACGGGAGGACTACATCAGCAGCTACATCTTGACACTGGAAGAAAGGTTCATTCACCCTTCCCCAAACCAACACTATATACCCTAAAATCCCTATATAACCCTTATATATATATATCGACACCCTAAAATCCCTTTATAACCCTTTTGTATATGTATATACCCTAAAATCCCACGAGAGCGCTCCGGGCTCAGACCGTGAAGGGCTGCTTTCTTGCTCACAGGGCCATCGGACATTGGCAGAGTCCATAGGGGCATCCAGTCACACACTATCACAACTTCAGACAGGTCCCCTAAACCAGCTATCTTCACAGACGCGGTCGGTGCGAGGCAGAATATTCTGCGGAAGTGCAAAACTCAAATCATCTTACATTTCTTCTAAGCCTGAACCCTAAACTCGAGACCTACTTTGAGGTTTAGGCCTATGGGTGAAAGAAAACAGCCCTCAGGAGCATTACCACAACTGGGTTGCTGTTCCAAAACTTAAGTTACCAGATTATGGGCATCTAGGGCTGCGGGTTTGAGTTACCTTTTCATGGGTATGTAGTACATAAGCAGGTTTCCTTTGTATAGCAACTTAATTTGTCCCTTCACAGCAGCCCTGACAAGCACCGGCGCTGGTCGGATGAAGCCTTATGTGCACGGAGCGCGCAGCCCGCTGCAGGTACTGAAAGAAGGAATCAACGCAAAGGAACATTGAAACTACTACAGCGTTCAAAGATATGGAAACTACTACATTGTGCCCTAAACCCTATAAACCCTAAACCCTAGGGCTGTCGGGAGGGATTCATAATACCAGAAACTCACAATCTGGGCTCCAAGCTTCTTTGCCACCTCGAACTCATCCTTGGCGTATTCCTCCTGATATTCCTGCCAGATCGGGGGTCCAAACCCAGAAATAACACCTCATTGTAGTCCTTCTTAAGTAAAGTATATGGGGATCTTATTTTAATATACCCAAAGCCATATTCTATCTACTTAAGGGGGACTGTACGGGCCCTAATGTCTATTAGTCGGATAATTCCCCTTGCAGTAAAGGAGCTAAAATAGCCCCTTAAGAAGAACCCTTAAAAGACAGTTACCGTAAAGGGACTGACCCAACCTATAAGCAACAGCTACTTTGCGCTCTTTGGATCTTAGGGGCAGTGCGCGGCCATGATTATCCCCAGTCCTTCCCCTCTACAATTAATAAAGGGTATAATAGTGCTTTACTAAATTTAGACTGCATTAATTAACGGCAGCTTCTGGGAGGGGGAATGATCCCAATCATGAAGCCTCGGTTCTACCACTCGAATACTATGGCAAGTTGAGCTAAGGTCGTTCTCAGGTCCTAAACTTCGGGCAAGATCGTGCAAGGGCCTGGGCCCATGTATGTGGGTAACATACAAGATTTAACATGGTCAAAATTGAAAATGCATGCGACGGCACATGACAAGCTTTCAAAAAACTTATGCGCAACAAAATGCCAGCAGTGTCACATGGCTGAATGAAAATATTTGTTTAAAAATAATTTCAAGCCGTTTGATGAAAGATTCCACATTGAAATCTGAACGCTCATGGAAGGTAAGCACTCATGACATGACATCAATTTTGAGGCTGAATGGGAAAACTAAGGAGTGTAAAGGCAACAACTTTGAACAAAAAAACCTTTCTCCACACCTTGGCAAGTGCTTTGACCACATCTCTGCGAACATGATGAAAAATTGAAACTGGGCATCAAGTTTCGCATTGCGCAGCAAATATTTCGCATAACGGAAAAGGTGGCACGGCGTTGTACTTACAGGGCAAGCCTCACTGCGTTACAATGCGAAAATGCCACAGGTTCTTCCTGACTCAAGTGGGTTTTCCTTGTTTTGCTTAAAACTTTCAAATCAAAGCATGGGAAGGCGTGGACGCGGGAAGCGTGTAAGAACAGTGGGGCGGCGAGCATGCTGAAAAGCATTCAGAACAAATCAGCCGAAGGCTGTCAAGTCTGCTTTCAGTACAGTTTGGGATTGAGGGTTCAGGTCTAGGGTTTCAGGAGGCAACACACACATGGACACAGTCACTGACTTGAATGTTGAATACACTACCGCAACATGTGGCCCACTCTCTGTCAAGAAATCAAGCAATCAAATCCAATGCATCACACCAATGAAGTTGACAGATTTCAGCGCTGGCATGGCAGACGCAAAACCAATTTTGCATTGGGCTCATCTTCCGACATGAGTGCTGGTGCTGGCATGGCTGAAAAACACTGACAAGCTCTGCTAGAGCCAGTGGAAAACAAGGAGCGCAACTCGCCCCGTCACCTGATGCTCATCGGCACCCTCAGCAAAGAATCACGAAGCCTTCTTTGCATGCTCCTCCAGAGCAGCAAGCACTTGTGTCATCTTTTCGACATTCTTGTTATCTTTCGCCTGCAATTCCTTGCACGCGGTGTAATTGACGACAGATTTCTCATCAGCCATCACAAAAGACTTGCGAGCCCCATAGATCATCGTTGATGATCCGGTGCGTTCCATGAGGATGTGACAGGTGGGGATGAAAAGGACATCATCTTTTTTCAAAAGATGATAGTAGGGAGCTGTCTTCATCTTCTTCCACGTCTCCGCATCGATCTGGTAGATCATCTGCAGGGGTCAGCTCAATAGGGCCAAGAAATCAGTTCCCAGATGCAATCATAACGAACCCAAATTGACTTCAACGTGTAACCCTAAACCCTAAACCCTAAACCCCGCAACCCAAGGACCCAAGGCAGGCACATCTACACACAGAAAACCATTCAAGAACCCTGCAACTGCAAGGCCTCCTCCAACTCAGTTGTGGTATTCGGCACTGCCACGCTAGCGTTCTTCAGCCCATCCAGGAAGGACTGCACAGACAACGTGTAGATTTCCACGTCCCCGTACATTAACACCCGGAGGAAGGCGGCTGAGTTCGGACTCAGGCTGACAAAGGTCCTCTTAGGGGCCAGGGCAAACATCCATGAAGTGCTTGACCAACCAGGCGCAATGGGCTCCATGTCTATGATCTTGGTTTTGACAGGAGCCGCGATGTCCATGAAGCATTTCTCACTTGGCTCCCGACCAGCCTTGGCAATGAAAGGCGAAGCCAATTTCCCCTGAGTTTCAAAGAGAGGAAACTTCTTGTGCCGCGCCCCAAAATTCGTCATGGTTTGCAACACTACGGGATTTCCACTCCATGTCTGAATGTGGCTGCACTTCTTGATCACAAAGGGCATGCTGAGGTTCTGGCCACCAGGGATGGTATCCCCTTCCAAAACCTTCATGGGCGTCAAGTCTTCCTGCTTCAGCTTGAACAACGCGGCCAACGCCGAACCATCTGCAGTAGCTTGCTTGAGCCTTGCTTTGGACTGCTCAAGGTGGCGGGACTCTGCCTCTTTGGCTTCGCGATCCTTACGCCTCTTCTCATCTCTCTCAGCCGCAGCGGCCAACCCTGCCACATGCTTTGTCACATCATTTGTACACTTCTTCAATGACACTTCCAGCTGCGCAGCAGCTGTGACCATGCGTTTCCACTGAAGGCGGGTTGCCTCCATATCCTCTTCAGACAGTTCATGCGGCTGCTTGCTGGAGAGCTCATTCACGAAGTTGTACATGAACAGCCTGGTGCGCAAGCACAACTTTCGCTCGATGATGACCGTGTGACCAGCCTGCTCAATTGCCCAAATCAGAGATGGGTGCTGCTTCTGGCGGGTCTCGTCATCGCCAGTGATCTTCTCACTGCCCTTGCCGGCGTCCTCGAGGTCCTTATTGTACTTGTCCAGCTGGGTCTTGATATCATCCAAATTGTTCCAAGCTGTGGCCAAGGTCAAGGATTTCTGGAGCGCCTCGTTGTAGAGCCCTCGGGTTGTCACATCCGTGGGGTTGGCTGGAGCGGGCGCTGCCGCCTGTTTCTGCTGCGCAGCCTTCGCCTCTTGGATCTTTGCGGTCATGGCCAGGGTCTTCTGCGTCAGCTGCCTTGACAAAGCGTCAAACAAAGCAGCTCGCTGGCTTGCCAGGTTGGCAGCTTTGCGTTTTTTACCGCCTGACTTCTTTGACTTTGCATCCTCTTCACCCTCATCTTCACTGGCATCCAAAGTCAATGAAGCCCCCTTCCTCTTGATTCCTGGGCCTTTGGTTGAAGATGATTGGGGCTCACTAGCTTCTGCAGGCTCAGCACCTGAACCACTAGCAACCTCAACTTCAACTTCATCCTTGCGATCATGTGGTCGAGCTCCTCCACGGAAGAACTCATGCCCGTGATCCAGACCTGCTTCTGAAGCGTGAGCACGGAATGCATCCAAGTCTGATGCATTTGGCGCCTTTTTGGTCTTGGATGTTTCAACAGAAGACCCCTTCGCGAATTTCGTTTTGGCCTTTTCTTCAAATTCTTTGGATGGTAGCCACAGGCGCAAGCAGCCTTCATAGCCGAAATTGTCTCTGCGGTAATGCCCAGCTAATTTCTGCCGCCATTCTTGATGCATCTTCTGCCTGTCTCGACCAAACTTCGCAATTTGCTCAAGCACCCACTGCTCCTCTTCACACGGCTCGGTGATCTCACCCTCCTTCTCTGTAACGAGAACCCCGAACTCCTGCTCCCACTGGGCAAAGTCGATGAGAGGCTGATGGGCGAACATCGGGAGGGCCACACTTCGCTTTGCCATATATTCCACCTGAGAGTTGGCAAAATCAATATCCTTGCACCGCTCTGTCCACGTCTTTAGAGCAGCTTGCCCCTTTTGCTTGAGGATCTGGTTCCGCATGTTATCAAGATGGCGATTATGCTTCAAGCAGTGACGGCGACCTTGCTTGCAATCCTCATCGCAATCATGGAAGGCGCAAAGCTTGAGTTTTCCGGACTCGCTCCCAGCAGAGGTAGAGCCGGCCTTGCTTCGGGGTGTCTTTGTAGACTGCGCGGAAGGGGTTGGAGGCGGAGGGCACTCCTGCACAGAGAAGTCATCTTCTCCACTCATGATCTGCAGCTATCTGCAGGCTCCCTGTACACTTCAGAATTCAACAGCTACAATTTGCGGAGCTGGACCACACCATGTCAAAGTCACGCGATTCACTCAAAACGTATTACATGGGCACACAAACAGACAACCTGACAGTATAGCATCAAGCTGCACTTGAAGCTGGCTGCCTCCTTGTTTAGCTCCTTGCTCAGCGCAGGGGGTCCCGTTTCGAAGCCACCGTTTTCAGGGTTGTCATTGCCTGCACAATGCCTGCAAAGAGTCCCGGGGGCCCCGTTTCGGAGCCACCGTTTTCAGGGTTGTCATTGCCTGCGCAATGTCATCCGGGCTGCAAATGTGCTTTCGACCTAAACCTAAACTGCCACTACTGCAGGCTCAAAGCGGGACTACTTCGAATTTTCCTTCCAACATGACCTTTGCGTGAGCCAAGCTTTTCACAACATCCCAAGGAATGTAAGGCCTGCGCAGGGCTGCAATGCATCATGCCAGATAACTGATGACTCAAGGCTCACGCCTCACGTTGGCAACTTTCAGATTAAAAAACCTCATGTCTTGAGACGCCTATGGAGAATCTACATTGCACTGGTATCCTCACGGCCTAAAGGTTTCTGAGCGCAGTGGGTCACACTTCAGCCGACTGTTCCTCATCTTCACACTCATCCACAAGAGCTTCAAGCAAGGGCGTCAACTGCCCAGGCTCAAGATTAGGCACACGCTGGATGTTGGAAAATTCGTACATGATCCAAGCAGCAAAGGTCGGGACGTGCATGGAATTGCCTGCGAACATGCGCAAATCTACTTCATGGAAATTCTGGAAAACCATGGCCAATGGCGAAACTGTAGCACCATCACCATACATGTTGATGCCCTGCGCCTGCAGAAGTTCTGCCGGCAAGAGCAAGCGGCCATGCAAGTAAGAAAATATGTTGGGGTGCGTGTCGAGCGGAGGTATCAAAGGGCCACATTGAGGACCATGGTCAAGGTTGTGATCGAGATCTGCAAAGAAACTTCCTTGGACACCCTCACGTTGCGGTCGCACTTTCTGATAACTAGCAAAGCGACACATAGCTCCAGGCGGCAGCAGACAGTGGAGATAATCTTGCATCCGGATTCCCCTGAAATTGCCAGGCAGCTTAGACTTGCGACGCTTCGAGCGCTCTTCTGAAAAGGCGAAGATCTCTTGCTGCGACGCAAGCAGATAAATATCGCCAGAGATCTCAAGGGACTTCCCAAACATGTTCATAAATTCGTCTTGAACGCCTTCTGGGGATGGTGGTCCAGTCCACACCCACTTGTTGCGATCAATGCCGAATGTAAAAACTCGGCGTCGCTTCATGTGATATCCAAGGTCACTTGGACACACAACCACATGCTTGACATCATGGCTTGAAGACAGCGCATCAATTTGCTTTGACTGCACCGGGTAGCTCCTTCAATTCTCTGTGAAGAACATATCTTCAAGGTCATTCGCTGCAAGCCATTTGCGCTCTGCTGCCCAGATGGCGTGGGTTGGCTCAGTCAAGCCAGCGCCTGACAGACCTTTCTTTCTTCCCAGCGGTGTGTAATCAGTGCAAACCAAGCCTGCAAAGTTGCAGACTATGGGCTCCTGCTCAGCATGCAGCAGGCGCATGCTTCCTGAAGGAAGCTTCTTCCACCAAGGACTGCACTGCCGTTGCCGCTTGTTTGCAGGAGCTGCATGCTCCACAAGGTCTGGCTCTTCTGCCTGAGAGCGAACTTCTCTCAAAGCAGCCAAGACATGAACAGGACAGGTCTGGTTGTGCTGAACGCAGTAACTTCTGCTCGCCAAAGAAAACAGCAAGTCCTTGTGTTGCTCCAAGAAATTTTCAACAGTCAAATTGGCGTCTCTCGCTTCCTCAGGCTTCATGCCTTTCAGGGGGCCTGCTGCAGCAATCCAACTGCGATGCTCCTCAGAAAGCCTATCATGCAAGTCTGAGAAAACACAGCCAGCACCACCATCATACATGTCACTTTGCAACATCAGGCATCGCTTCTGCGGATTTCCATAGTCACAGGAGCGAGCAACGAAAGCAGCTGGAAGCTCAACTTGAGCAGCGTCTGACAAAGCTCCAAGCATGACTCGCAGGCACTCTCTGGGAGCATCGTACCCACTGAAATCTGTTGATATCAGCAAGCCCTGCTTCAGGTTGTCCAACAGCGTGCCAGCAGATTTTGCTGAAAGCAACACGGTAGCCAGGTTGCGCTGCCAACCTGAAACATCCTCAAATGTTTCAGGGCCCCTGCTTTCCAGAAAGCTGCTATCGCGGCGGAACATTCTATGCCAAAATCAAACTTCTGCGCATGCGTGTGAAGCTTACGCAGTGCACCACATAACTCTGGAACAAGACCAAAACAACTTGTCTGCGAAGTTTGACCTTCGCTGCTGCTGTTGCTGCTGCTGCTGCTGGATCTAAGGAATCTCGCATGCAACCGACTGCCAGAATGATCTCAAATAAGCCTGGACTGCAAAAAGCACCCAAAGCACTGCATGTCTGGTCTTGAACTTGACTGACATGTGACATGTACGCTCACAGCGCGCTGACAATAATGAACCCCTTGCGGTGTGACTTGCATGTTTGCGTGTATGTGTCTGCTCTTGCTCCTTCCATGCCCTGGTAAAGTTGCGTTCCTTCCCTTCCTGACGCCGGGCGACCTGGTCAACCTGTTCCTCCCCTTGCCCTGGTGGACCCAGCCTCTCCTCCCACTCGCTTCATGTTATGCTTGTGTGTGCTGCACTATGTGCTGGTCTGGCTTGCATTGCTGCCATGGTCCACATTCAACCATCAAAATGCAAGCAATTGCATAAAACTCAAGGCTTCACCAGAAAAACATTAAATGTCCATGTAAATGTTGAAAATACTGCAAAAAACAATGAAAATGCTCAAATGGACAGAAAATTCACCATGTGAGCTTAATTTCGTACAAAATGCCCTAATTGCCACAATTTCATTGACGAAAACAGAAAACGCAGCCAAAATCCAGCTGCATGGGGCTGATCCAGCATATGTGCTTGGGCAGGGTCGGGCAGGGTCGTGCAAGGTCGTGCAAGTTCGTGCAAGGCCCTGAAATGACACTTTTTCCATCGAAAACGCATGAAAAAAAGAGTGATTTTGCCCTCGAAAAGATCGTGCAAGATCGTGCAAGATCGTGCAAACCTGATTTTCGAGCATTTTCCCTATTCGGGGTGTCTCTGGTAGCCCAGCCAGGCTGCTGAGTGATTTCTTCAAGATCCAAGCCTTCGGACCAGCCCCCATGAGCACCCCCCACCATGCCCCATGAGTGTCTTCAGCTGCCCCAAAGAATTTTATAAATGTTGTGCACATATCATTGGCACCCCACTGGCATTTTGCATGACAACTGGCTTCAACACATGGGTTTGGTGCTTATGCTCCGCAATTTAGCATGGATATGCTGAAAAAACCAGACGCAGCACTGAATACATGTGTCTGCTGCTTGCAAGCATGTCGAACTGTTCCAACATGTTGATTCATTGCCAAAAATTCTTGCTTTCATGATCTCGGGCGCGAAATGTACCCAAGTGCCCAAATCAACGCACACAATGGCACACAACATGCGTTTGACAACATGCTCTCTAAACGGAAGGGAAACATGTCCGCAATGTACTGACATCATGTGTCATGGAGCTGCACTTTGCATTGTCTGGCACCAACATGTTCTTTTTTCATGCGCTGCAGTGGGTGGCATCTTCTGAAGCTCATGCTGCATTCCTTTGGAATTGCTTTACAGTGCCATCCTCTGCGGTGTAATCCAATGGCGGATTTTCAGGCGGCGGCTCCAACAGCTCAAGCGCAGCATCTCTCTGCACTTCCGACCACGCTTCGTTCATGTGATCATCTGCTGTCAGGAGATGTCTGCCGCGCAGCACCCATATTTTCAACATGCGCAAAGTCTGCTCAGCTGTTCGGGCGCGGGTGGTGGATTTGAGGTTTTTGCGGCAACGCTTGTGAGCGGGATGATTGCAGCTCATCTCCCATCCCACAGCTTGTCCATTTTTATAGGTCCGCACCGCATGGCCCATTCCGTAGTAGAAACTTGCCCTTGGGTTGTTGGCACGAGCAGCACCTGCTTTTGCTTTAGCCTTTGCCCTCCTAGCCCGTGCAACAGGAACAACAGCGCCGGGCGGGGCTGAAACATCAGATGACGATGAGGAGGAGGATGAGCTTGAGGAGGATGAATTTTCAGAACTCGGAGGCCCAACATCATGATCACTAAGACGCAAAGACTCTGGTGTTGGAGGAGTAAGATCACCCAAAGAAGCTTCTGGCGAAGACAAGGCTCCAGCAGCAGACGCATTCAAAGCTATCTCTTGGCTTTCAGTTGGAGGCACATGTTCTGCTGCATTAACATGTTCCCCATCATTAACGCCATCAAGAAAATCATCATGCTCATGGTCGCTGCTGTCTTCGTCACGCAAGTCATTGGCCTCCTGTAAATTCTGATCTGGCAAAGCATCCCCATCAACCTCAAGAGCATCTGCTATGGCAGGCACTTGTCTACGGCGGGCCTGGCGCGGACGCTTGACACGAGCTTCAACGCTTGCAAGTGCACCGGCCTCCCAGTCTTCCTCATTTACATGTCGAATTGCTCTGGCAATTTTTCGCACACGCTGGACAGGGGCCTTGCCTTCAGATAGCCCTTGATAAAAAGCCGCTGATTGAAAATGCGGTATTTCCGCATGGCCTTGGGCAAGGCATAGGAGGTATGGGAAAGAGATGGAATCATCACCAGGTCTGCTATGCTAAACCAAACCTTGTTGTCTGCATCAGCACGGTAAGGGGGCTCCGGCCCCTTATCTTTGACCTTGTGCTGCCAGCCATCATGATCTAGCAGCACCATCAGTTCCCAAACACTCCGCTCAGAAAGCTCCACATCATCCCTGATTGCCAATGCGTGGGAGGGGCTTCCAAGCTGGCAACCAATCCTACCACACGAAACACCATGTTCTGTCATGCACCATGTAC